GAGATTAGTTACCAGATGTTGTGAAGGAGTAATCCTGGGTTTGTATTTATCAAACGATTCTAACAGAAGAATTAAGAGTGCTGCACAGATATGAGAAAATGTTCCCAACTCAGCAGTTAGAGCTGAAGCATTTGACAAAATGCTGTCATGTGACAGGGCAAAGGGTTGGTTTGTTTGGTTTGTTTTTATATATATATATATATATATTTGGTTACTCCTGGGCTAAGACATCTGCAGGAGAAAAATGTTTTGGTCAATAAGTGCTTTCAAAATGCACCGTCGGAAAAAAAAAAAACAAGACAATATGATCCAAAATAAGAAGAAAAAATTGTGACTTGACCTAGTCAAGTGTGAAGTGTGAACACAGCTGTGCTGTTACAAAGCTTCAAAATAGTAAGGACAGACCCATAAACCGTGCATTTCTCTTATTTAACATGCTCAAAATATCATTACATATACTGTGTAACATTGTGTGTTGAAAATGTCCATGCTGGTGTTTTATCTTCAGCTCCGAGATGAGGTAGAGCAACTCCCGTAAGTTTTATGAATACAAACCCAGACTGTGACAGTGATGTGGGCAGACAATTTGGATGATTTGATTTGTGTTCTGCATCTGGCAGTTCTGGATGACTTTGCATCTTCAGTGAAATTAAACTGACATAAAATGGCTCCCCCCCTTGCGTGTCACCAGCTTCTCTTAAAAGGGACCACGTAGATGTCTTAATTCTTTGAGTTGGCCCTTTATATACCCGTATGTCTGAGGGATGATCTTTTCTTTTTAAGCATGTGAGGTGCGAGTGTAAGAGGATAAGTTTAACCAAATATACCTGTTTTTAAGCATGTGAGGTGCGAGAGGATAAGTTTAACCAAATATACCTGTTCTTTTAAGTCAGACCAGACATTGTATCGCCTTCAGCTCCATTTTATCTGTTCCCCGTGCGTGTATGTCTGTGTGTGCCTCTGTATGTGTGTATTTATGTCTGTCTCTTGTCTGTATTGTGGAGTCGCTACTGGCTAAAGCCCAGTTGGAGAAAACATTTCTCACTGCTGTAGGAGACAATTAGAACACCCCTTTGCTACTGTGATTGTTTCCCAGATAAGGTAGTTGTCCATTCATGCAAATTGTGTTAAATGTTTAATGATCGTGAGTTTATTTTTTTTGGACCACGTCATGTGTTTGTCCAATATCCTGACCAATGAATATCAGACAAAAAATGTACAGTATGCTAAATATTTGCTGTGAGGATTTACAGAGGCATATGTTCATTTTTTTTTTTTTTTTTTTCGGGTTTTGTTCCTGGGGCCCTCCTTGTCCTTTTTTTTTCTTTGCCTTCCGGCCGTTT